CCAACTGGGTGAGATGGCAGTTTTTACTTTTGAGTGCATCACTCAGGTGTAATACACCTTGATCCGCTATTTCATTAATGGACAAGTTCAACTGGGTGAGATGACAGTTTTCACTTTTGAGTGCATTACTCAGGTGTAATGCACCTTGATCCGCTATTTCATTAATGGACAAGTCCAACTGGGTGAGATGGCAGTTTTTACTTTTGAGTGCATCACTCAGGTGTAATACGCCTTGATCACTTATTCCATTCCTGAACAAGTTCAACTGGGTGAGATGACAGTTTTCACTTTTCAGTGCATCACTCAGGTGTAATACACCTTGACCAGTTATTCCATTTGAGGACAAGTTCAACTGGGTGAGATGGCAGTTTTCACTTTTGAGTGCATCACTCAGGTGTAATACACCTTGATCAGTTATTTGATTCCTGATCAAGTTCAAATGAGTGAGATGGCAGTTTTCACTTTTGAGTGCATCACTCAGGTGTAATACACCTTGATCAGTTATTTGATTCCTGATCAAGTTCAAATGAGTGAGATGGCAGTTTTCACTTTTGAGTGCATCACTCAGGTGTAATACACCTTGATCAGTTATTTGATTCCTGATCAAGTTCAAATGAGTGAGATGGCAGTTTTCACTTTTGAGTGCATCACTCAGGTGTAATACACCTTGATCAGTTATTTGATTCCCACTCAAGTTCAATAGAGTGAGATGACAGTTTTCAGCATCAAATTCGTTTTTATTACTTACTTCACTGGAGAAAATCTTGGTAAGTTCTGAGCAACCATAATCACCAAAATTGTTATTAGAAGAAATTGTAAGTGAGTCTAAACGGGTCACACAGTGCCTTAAAACAAAGATGACAGCTGCACAATCAGGAGGTGTGACATTGCAGAAAGACAAATCTATACACCCACTGAATCTCTCAAGAGATTCAAGTTTTGACGCAGCTCTTACAGCAGCCTCTTCATTGTTTAGCTCATAAATGCATTTGAACATAAGTAATGTTAAATGTTTATCATAGATTGCTGAAGAATCGCAAAGTATGTCTTCAAAGTAAGTGGAGACTTCAAAAAAACGTTTTTGCAACAACCCTGCTACAAATTGTATTACAAGATGCCAGTTAGCATCTTTCGCTTTATTCCTAATAAGCTGAATAACTTTATGGAGGTCATTTGTCTTTGTAATTTCTCTGGCAGCAAGAAACTCTTGAAGGGTCAAATGAATAAAACAATACTGCGATGCCCGAGCAAATCCTAATGCAGGATTCTCTTTACTTTGCATGCAGTTGAGTAAACCACAGTTTTCCAATCCTTGAACCTCTTCTTTCTCAAAAACCAATCGTTTCTCTTCAAGTCCTTTTCTCGCTAGTTTTCCTAGTTTGGACAGTTTTTTCTCAATTTCAGGTGGAAATGARTCATTCGTATAGTCRGGGAGAAATGTTTGTTGTTTGTAGTCTGGACTKTGCTTGAACAAAAAGTGCCTTAYTGCTCCATTGTAAATATCAGTGAGAGTGRTGGGTAGAACYAAGTTATTTGACCTGCTGTTATTTCTTTTAATGAAATTGTATAACAAGGAACAGACAATCCAGCAATTGACTGGAATGTAACACAGATACAATAGGTTGACATTGCTTTCTATGTGATGGCAAATCTTGCTTTCTGTTGTTGCATCTTCTTTACAAAACTTGTGAATGTATGATTTGACTTTTTCTGGAGTAAAACCCAAAATTTCAACAACTCGTTTAAATTGCAATTTCTCGAAGATTATCGGACTGTCTAAAGCATTTGGTCGTGAGGTTGTCAAAACTGTGGCTCCAGGAAGCAGCTTCTTTTGCAAAAGTTTTGCATAAAGAACAGTTGCAGGCATTTCATCGCCCAATTTATTCATCTTGCTGAATTCGGGCTGGTCTTTCATCAGCTTTTCACGATGCTTATATTCGTCTAAACCATCAAAGATAAACAAAATCAATTGAGGATTGTCATGAATATCTTTTAAAATATCGGGGTCTGTATTCATGGAGTTTTCCGCTTCATTGAGAAATTGCTCAAAAGATATTTTGTTGAAATCCTGTGCACTCAAATTCCTAAAGCGAAATAGGAAAACATATTTAAATCGATTAATTTTTCCTTTGCACCAATCGCGAATGATTTTCGAGCACAATGACGTCTTCCCGATACCAGGACGACCAATGACAAGGATGTTGATATTACATTGGCTTTCTGAAGTGAAAAGCTCATTTAAATCACTTATTGGAGTTGAATCCTCAGGAGTTTTGAGATGGACGTCTAAGAGCTCATGTCTCTTCTTACTCATGTCGAAGTGATGCGTGACCCAACTAGGATGTAGAACAAGATCAACATAAACATCGTCCATTGCTCTCCGATTGTCATCTTTCCATGGAATTGAGGGTATTAGAGGTTCAAGATACTCCTCCTGCAAACTGTCAAGTTGCGATAAAAAAACATTAGTCTGATTTCCACCATGTGGTGCAGAAAGTCTTTTGTTGAAAATATGTATTTGACAAAATTCAGTGTCAGTCATAAAGGTCTTGTTATGAGCAGCTCTTGCCAGAAGGTACAACGCTTCAAATAGCACAAGACATGCAAATAATATATTCATAATCCAAACTACCATTGCCCAAACAGTTTTCTCTTGGGCCACAGAGTTTTGGCAGGTTATTATAAGTGACGATGAATTTGAATATTTCAAGTCAGCAACGCTTGACTGTTTTGAATTCCATCTGCACTGAAATTCCGGAGGAAATTTCGAAGCGTAAAGTTCTGTTAACTGCAATAATGCAAAGAAGACACCAAATACAAAGCGTACAAGTAACTGGAGCAAATAACGTTTGAAAATATAACGACTGCTGGTTGGAGTAGGTCGAAGGTTGTCTCGATTTGGTGTGCATTCTTGTTCGATTTGTTCCACTCGTGATTTCACACAACACCAAGAATAAACAATACAAACAACAACTAAACTACCAAAGCTCATCAATGCAAAGCCATACAGCGGTAATAAAGCATTGTATTTTTGACTGTACTGGTTAATGCACTTCGTCTTCACGAAGTCCTTCTCAGAGGAAATACCGTGATTGTCACAATGAAAGCGTCGTCCTTCGAGTTTTGCAATTTCGAGAAGGAAGCCGACAACTATAGCTCCAGCTAAGGCATTGAATACAGCAACGATGTATCCATACGCGCTGAATCTTTTGGGCAGCAGAAATTCTTTTATGCTCTCCATTTAAGTACATTGAACTTTCGATAGTTCTGCAGTGAATTGAAGAAAATGACTGCTACACCCACAGCACATTCATAGCACAAGGGAAATTTACATGAGCATGCGCTAAAACCGCTGATACATGTCTGTAAATTCCAGAGCCCGCACTTTGGCCATCCAGAGGAATCACAGGGAGCCCAAGCAGTGACTTTGAACCTATAATAGTTAAAAATAGAATTTTACTCAAAAAAATGGTCTACTTTTATTTTATTCAGTGTCACATTATAATATTTAGCGAGTTTTTTTTTTGGTATTTTGTAACGTACAAAACAAAAAACAAAACAAAAAAACCCACACACTAGACACGTAAAAACTCGCTAAATAGTCGTCCAAATGACCTGAAACTTCACTCGAAGTAAAATGGGAGCATTTTGAACTAAGATCGCTGACTCCACAGAAAATGGTTAAAATTGATTCAGTATTAGCATACGATATTACACCAAACAAAGGATCACAACACTTATCATAAATGATTGTTTTGCACAATTGTAATACGAAATGAGAACCTAAAAGGAGTATTTCAGCAGTATTTTTCTATTTTTAAAGGTCTTTTCCAATGCCCGTTATAAAAACCTTTCATTTCCAGGGCTTTTCAAGGAGTACAACGAACCCTGAATTAAATGTGACAGTTGTTTACTCAACAAAAAGTTATTTTAATATATTTTTAAGCGGAATATCTAGTATATATATTTTGGGGGAGGGTCATAATTTTTTGTACCCGATTCAAGGGCGGGCCACATTTTTTTATTTGTCTTACAAGGGAGCCCTCTATTTTGTCAACAGGGTTCGATGCAAATTTAGTGGCCTTCCCCCCCAGTAAATAATGATAAGCGACTAGAACATTAACTATTCTAGACATAAGTTATTTTCATTGATTTTATTAAAATTTTATGCGTGGAAACTGGCATGGACATATTATTTCATTCAGAATCGCTCGCGACCCATCACACGATGTCGTTGAGTACTAGAGATCAAGTTTAACGTTATTGGTTACATCATATGAGATATGCTTAGTTGTCTAAATGCTTTCAAAAGGGGACCGATCATGATGATGATGATGATGATCTGAAAAGTGTCTGGAGTTTCACGTCTAGGGCTATAAACACATATTATATAGTGTGACATCACTCACAAATTTAGTTAGATTTAAGCAATGTTTGCAATATACTCCCTTATTTCATACTTGATTCAGTTTTCTTTGTTATTCATAGTGTTGTATCTCGCTTATTCCACAGCTCATTGTGTATTCAAGTGCTTTATATCGCAGTTTCAGGGATATATCTAGATATTGCCCCCATTTGAGGGCAATATYTATATATTGSCCTTRAATACTAAYKTATATTGCCCTTGAATACCTAATTAACTACTACGTTCAACTTAGAAATTTAAATCTTTTTGACAAGAACTTTATGCTAATCAAAATTTCATATTAACCTTTAAATGTGTTTTTAGCTTGAGCATATGCAGAAAGAGCTGGATTCTTTGAAAGCAGATTTGAAGACGTTAGAGGCCCAACAAAAACGTACACCAACGTAAGTAGAGGCGCTGTAACACTAGGCACTCTCACAATATCCAACCGCAATCCACTTGTCCGCGGGCTCAGAAAATGTCAAAATTAGCTCAATTTCGTTCGAAGCAGGGGGGGAGGTCGTCTCTAGGGCCAATCGCTGTACAGGGTTATGTCCTAATATGACGTCACGCGCGATTTCGTGAAGAAGTCCTCATGTCGAGAATGGCTTCAAAGTGTTTGATGTACAAAATATGCATGTTTTTGGAGAAAGTGAACTTCGAACTTAAGAAATAATGTAGAGGAAGTCTCTGAGTATTGTATTTTGGAAAAAAATATATGGAWTTTMTAMTCTACTGTTAAATTTTATGGGAAAGAAGACAGTTAGTCCGAAACAAAATGGCGGAAATTTTCATTGCTCGGARACATAAATGTGGTGATATCTTGAGATCTACGCAAGAACTCGTCACCAAAGGAGGAACATTTGTAAAGTAAAGTCGGAGGATTTTGGAATTGTATACATCAAGCTTGTCGGATCAGTGGAACTTCATATCTTTTGCTTTGAACACCGAGAGTGATAAACATGGAACGTGGAACGACCTGAGTGTATTGAACTTGTGGTAAGTGTTTTGACATTTGTTGGCTAAGTTAAAACCTGAATGGCAGTTTTGAACGGACACTACTAATATTTATTGATTACTTGTGAATTTATTTCAACTAGATTTGAGTGTTTTTAACAGCATAGTTGACTCAGAGAAAGGTCATACTGTAAGCTTGTTCCATTGCAGTTTGGCATAACTTGAGTACATTTTTTACACCAAGTTGATTATTTCTTTTTCTTTTATTTAAGAATTTTCCGGAGATCTAGAGACTTATCATAACTAGTAAAGACAAATGTATTCAACATGTCGTTTAGATCAATTTTTCTTCAACTGAAATTTGAAGTACATTGAGCTTACATTAAGTATGCATTAGAAGTGTATTATTTTAATAAGACTTATAGTATACATTATTTTGTGTATCCAGGCACACATTGCAATGAATGAATTGTCTGTTTTTATTGCAGCTCCTAACTTACGTCACATGGAAAACATTGGTCCTAAAAGTTTACAATATATTGCAAACACTAGTTCAGTGCTAGGTATGCATGTCAGCAATCCTGCAGGAATGTAAGTGAATGACAGTAGCAGGGTTATCTAGTTTGTTCTGCCTAAGTCACCTTCAACCATCAACTAAYGGCTTAGACAGTAAAGTACATGTAACTTGATTGCCCAATTTGAAAATACTATTAAAAAGATGAAAATTCAGAAGATTGCCAGTCAGTGAAATTTTTCTTTATAGCCCTGTTCATTGAAATAATTTATGTATTTCTAATTCATAGCAAAGTGGTAAAACAGTTGAGTTAAAGAAATTATAATTAAAATATTTTAAGTTGACTGGAAAACAGCTAATTGAAGATGCATGTTCTACTGTATCATTATGCTTGTGTTCTCCATCTCTCACCATGTTAATGTTCCCTATTAAGTTCCCTACATAAACTCTTTTGCTTGTTTGAGATTTCTCGAATTATAATGAAATGTCAGGTTAATTGGCCATCCCGAAATTCAAAAGGGTATGAAAATATTACATTTGTTGAATACTGAACCTCACCACATGAAAGACCACACTAAAATAAGGGTTCTTGACAAGTCTGAGTATATTTGGTTGAATACTCACCGAGTAGGAATTTTTTCAAATTTGTAAAAATAAGAGAGAATATGACATTGTATGGTTTTTGGGTCACGCTGCTCAAAACCTCCATACATTCTTCATAATACTCTCAAACTCAGCAGCTTAACTAATTTTAATAATAATAATAATAATAATAATAA